TACAGACCGGTTCCTGCTCACTGGCTGAGCGAGGTGCAGGGAGCAACACGGAGGGTTGCGATCCCGTTGCCGGTCCCAGGCCGGTACGGGTGCGACACTGAGGGTTGCGATCCGTTGCCGGTCATGAAAAAAAGACAAAAAGGAAAAAAAAATGCATACTAAATGCATAGTTCTTGGCTACTTCGACATGTTTCATATGCTCTGTACTTACTAGGTGTGTTGAAATAGGAGTGTAGAGAGTTTTTTTAAAAAAAATTAAGGTTTAACCCTTGACCCTTGATAGTCTTTCATTTTAGGGTAAGGATAAGGAAGGAACCTGGAACAAAGGACTTAATAAGACATAGATGCCCATTGATGAGAATATCTGTCTCCTACCAGCCCCAGCTGCCTATCTTTCCCTAAGCACAAACAGACCACAGGAACACTGAACTCAAAATTGTGTTTTTGTTTTTGTTTTGTTTTGTTTTTTTTAAAAAGATGACCGGTAAGGGGATCTTAACCCTTGACTTGGTGTTGTCAGCACCACGCTCACCCAGTGAGCCAACCAGCCATCCCTATATGGGATCCGAACCCGTGGCCTTGGTGTTATCAGCACCGCACTCTCCCGAGTGAGCCAGGGGCCGGCCCTCAAAATGTTTACATAAGTTTTTCTTTCTTGGTAAAGTTATGCAGTAGGCTCTTATCTTTTTGTTTTGTTGTTGGATGGCTCTGGCAGAAGAGGCTGGCCAAGGAACCAAAGAATGGTAACTCATCAACAAAAATTTAGCAGTATGTGCGTGACAGATTTTGTCAGATTCTGACAAGTTTTGGGATTCTTGGTCTCCTTAGGATGAAGGCATAAAATGAGGCTCTGAGCCAAATTAAAGGAATTTGGTTATGATTAACACCTGAACATTTATTCCTCATTTACAAATGCAGTATTACTAGATAAATTTCCCACAATTCCAGGAGGCACTGTTCACATCGTACTGCATGTAAATAATCCTTTCTCCCTGTTTAGAGTTGAGTGTTTATAGTGGGGAATTGGAGAGGATACAATTTCTAGATTTCTGTGTGACTTGGGGTCCAGGTTACAACAAACCAATGCTGTTATCGATTTTGTCATAGGCCTATATGTATGCTTAGTACTACTGTCTTGAATTATTGAGCAGCTTGTACTTTTTTTCTTTATTGTGGTAAAAAAAAAAATACCATTTTAATGTGGTGTGGTTTTTTTGTTTTTTGTTTTTTGGTTTTTTTTCCTTTTTGTCTTTTTTTGTGACCGGCAACGGATCGCAACCCTCAGTGTCGCGCCCATACCGGACCAGGACCGGCAACGGGATCGCAACCCTCGGTGTTGCCCCCGCACCTCGCTCAGCCAGTGAGCGGGAACCGGTCTGTATGTGGGATCCGAACCCTCGGCGAGAGCGCTGCTGCGCTTCCCAAGCGGCGCACTGTAGCAGTGCGCCACCAGGCCGGCCCTTTTGTTTTTTGTTTTTTAACAAAGATTTTCATTTAACTGTTGGGGCTCCTCTGGAATATTAGCTGAGTTACTTGGTTAATACTTAATGGTTTTGAATACTTCAAGCTCTATTAAGAGCTGCTATTCCTGGGACTGAAAATACTTTTGATATAGGAGCTGCTATTTTTGAATTAGGAGTGCAATTTAATCTTGTTCAGCTGAGTTTGCATATTGGCCGTTGAAATGTAAATACCTTTTTTGTGTAGCCTCTGAGCACAACTACTTGAGGCTAAAATAGAATACCAGGTGAGTGTTCTATCTGACAAAACTTGTAAGAACAGTTGTATCTCATTACTTATTCTGTACATTAGTTCTTGTCTGTTTGGAATAGACCTAGAGTAAACTCATTATTTCCTTGATTCTAAGATCTGCTTTCTTCCTCTCATATTTTAACATTCTTGAAATAAATTATGTCATGTATACATCATGTCATATACATTAAATATATATCTTATTGCGTTTTTTCCATAATGCTACTATTAAAACTGCCATGCACTTTTGCATCAATAAAATTTGGCAGTTACATGTTTCACTTAAATTTTGGAATAGGAGGGCCAGCCCGTGGCTCACTTGGGAGAGGGCAGTGCTGATAACATGAAGGCCACGGGTTCGGATCCTATATAGGGATGGTTGGTATGCACACTGGCTGAGCGTGGTGCTGACAACAACAAGGGTTAAGATCCCCTTATCGGTTATCTTTAAAAAAAAAAGAAAAATGGAAGTTTTATTTTTTTTTTTTTTTGTGATTTCAAACTATAAGCCACTACTAAAACAAGGTGAAATTACTATTCAGCATCTCCCTCCATGGGTTTTGGTTTTTCCATCAATAGTTGTAAAAGAGCCCCAAAAAGGCAGTTAGTACCCTCTGGGAAATGTCAAAAAGCAAACTGGAAAAGAGGAGTTTCTGTCATTTTCCTCTTCCATAGTTTCAACTCAGTGGAGTCTGGTTACATGAGTGTTACCCCTGACGAACAATCCCCTGGATATTTGAGCATCTACTCCCCCCCCCCCCCCCCCTCC